TAAAGGACAGTCAAATGTGCTTACACATATTCAGGAAGTCAATCATCTAAGTTATAAATAGTAAGTTGTGTCCTTGTTTTAAGATTCCACGTACAAGCAATCTCATATGGTATTTTTCTCTCTTTCTGGCTTACTTCACTCGAATGACAACCTCCAGGTCTATCCATATTCCTGCAAATGGCATTATTTCATTTTTTTTCATGGCTGAGCAGTATGGCTGAGCAGTATTCCATTGTATATATATACCACGTCTTCTTTATCCAGTCATCTGTTGATGGACATTTGGGTTGTTCCCATGTCTTCGCTATTGTAAATAGTGCTGCTATGAACACTAGGGTGCATGTGTCTTTTGGAATTATATTTTTCTCCAGGTATATGCATATACCTGGAAATTTCTTCTTTAGGCCTCCACATTTTTCAGATTTTCCCTGATGACCATTATTTCATAAAAATACTAAATTTTTAAAAAGGAAACTACATCATATTAATACACAGAAAAAAGCTAGAAACCAACTAGTGTTCAATTATAGAACTGTTAAATAAATTGTTAAATAGAAAAAAACAATAAAGTATTATATACCTACTCATATAATTTTTCCCAGAAACACACAAATCTGTGTTGTAAACTAAACAGACAGATAAAGCCTCTGTGTGCATGGAAAACGAATAAAAATAAATAAATCGAAGTGGTACTATAAATTATCTACTTTATTATTTTGAAACCCACTGTGTCCATTATTTTTTAATCAGAAAAATACCTATTTTCAGTTAGCCTACCCTACAGGTGTATGGAATTTCACTCTGTGGCATCTCTTCAGTTGTCCTCATCCAGTCCAATCACACAGTTGGCAAGCTGCTTTTCTGGCTTTGTTCAGAGCTAATATGGCCAATACTATAGTAAACAAGTTGAGGACAGGGAGAACTCTTTTTAGACTCTTTGCAATAGATGTTTTTCACTGTAAATCCATTTGGCCAACAGATATTACAATTTGGGCAGAAGATGAGATAGTGGTGTTTCTCTGAAAATTTGGAGCAGAGAGCAAAATTGAGTAACATTGACTGTCAAAGACTTGAGATACTTTCAGTAGTTTCAGCCTTCTGGTCTCCCTGGATAACAATGGAATATTCAAACGCTGTCATTAATCATTGTGATTTTTTTTCCTAGCAGTTATAACATCTATAGTAGCAAGCAGAATCTAGAAAAGACTAAATTTAGAGCTTAAATCTTCATTAGCTAACAAATTGGAATGCATAAAAATAATCATATAGAAGAGAGAACCCTATCACTGAAAACCTTTTCAATCTGTCCTTGATTTCTCTAGAGCTAACACCTAATCTGAGCAAACAGATTCCTGTTTTCCACTGTATTTTTATGTTGTTCAAGTACTGCAGGCAGTAAATATGCATTGGAAATATTTAAGTAAGGGTAGAAAATGTGGGACAGATTCCAGACAAAAAGGGGGAATTGGGACACCCTTGACTTTCAGAACAATGCCAGACAAAGACAGAAAGACGTGAAGGAATACAGGTAGTGGACTGTGTTTCTGCAGTGTTCTTCAGGTCTGTAAAATCAAAGTGTTCATTTCAGCTAGAGAAATAGGAATTCATTTCTAATGGACTCAGACTTCGTCTCCATTAGCATCTTTAATTTCAATATTTTGGTGGTTTTTATTCGCCATCATTCTTATCAACAATTTTCCGCCTGCTCCTTCTCTCTTCCTTTGTGACAGAGGTCAGTTAAATTGCTGACGTGCTGAATAAATTTGGGCTGTATGTTCCTTCTAGGTCAGCGCAAGTCCCTGCAGACAGATGGAGCCCTTGGTCGCCACCTGCTGGTGACCGTCATCACAGCAGCCACACGGTCAGGTTGAAATCAGATCCAGCCAATGATGCCCGTTTAAATTATTTAGCAACGGAAAGATGGTAACATGTATATCTTGCACTAGGAAAATCTGATACAGCCAAATTGGCAGATATACAGAGCGCTCTAGATAAATCAGGGACTAATTATTAACATTCTATTTGTTAAAGTGAGTTAAAAATTTACTTTTGGCAACGCCATCAATACTTCACAGAAATATATTCACTTCAGGAGACATAACAATTCAGTTGAGAGTAAAAATCCAATTACTAATAATACGTGCTTGGAACATGTGTGTAAGTAAGGTTTTATATATAATCACTTGGGTGAGTAGCTGGTCAAATAACATAATGGCTGCTTTTCTATCTGTAACAGTAAGTGTGTGTGTATTTGTGTGTGTGTGTGTATTTGTGTGTGTGTGTGTGTGTAGTGGCATCCACTGCTCTGCTGGCCGGTAGTGTCTGTATGATATACAGCCCATCTGGTTTGAAGCTATTAAAACCAGGAGGCTGTGCACTCCATAGGTGTGATTTTTCAGACAGATGGAAAGCGTGCATAACTTAGAACTGTGACAACACAACTTGCTTTCTACATCTGGGCTCATAAATTTATTGCATGCACATTGTCTTCATGTATAGTTCCTGCTGTGGAAGAAACTTTGCTAGGTCCTTAGTACCCTGGAGAGAGCTTGCTGACGTCTCCAATAGTAAAGCTAAGAACAATGGTTCATCACTCCTCTTGGAATTAAGATGCCCTCCTAATTTATGTTCTAAGTCCTACTTTCTGAACCACGACAACAGTAACATACATACAAAGACCAGTGTTTATGTAAAACAGGAGATGTGGTTCTCTTAAATATTTAAACTCATTTTTTATTATGGAAATTCTCAGCCATTTAAATATAAATCCCCACCTACGTGTTACCCCACTTCAATAATTATCAACGTTTTATAATTCACCTTAAATAAGTCCATTACAATTCATGTGAAAGGATTCTTTTTCTGAACTCATGTACTTTAATGACAGAGTAGAGAAGTAAAAAAGGCATAAATGCTGGGTCATGGCTAGTGGCTGTGTTTTGGATCCTTGCACACTGTGTGGAAGGCCAAGTCCTCATAGTTCTCCTAAGAGAGGGAAGATTCCCCTAAGAGAATTCTTAGGAATCCTTAGGAACCTCCTCTAAGAGATCCTGCTGAGAGGGAAGTAGATTTCTAAGAGTGTGAGTAATACTTGCCCGTATAACAAATAGTATAGCTAGTAGCGTTATTTTTCACTTCTAAAGTAAAATGTTGCAGAAAAAACGTATTCTTCAACAGGTGATGTATATAAGCAAAAATAAATTTGAGTCAGAAGGAAGTTTTTTTTTCCTAAGTGCCCTGCTGTGACTGCAGGCTCATAATCTCCATCTCCCTTGTCCGAGGCCCGCTTGGCAGACATCCTCCATCACCATTTTCTGGGTTTGGCAGTTAATATCTGTAACATCAGAGCTTTCCTAACTTAATAGGACAAACTGGGTTGCATTTATTCAGTGAGGGAAAGAAATGACTGATGCTAATCACATCAGAAAGCAAGATGAGTTTTTGAAATATATGTCCTGGGCGTATTATGTAAGATTGATCTAAAATTCTCCTTCTTTTTCCGTCTTTCTGATTTGATCCTCTCGGTTCAGGTCTGCCGATGATACAGTCCTGTTACAGACCTGGACTCCATAACCAATCTGCTCAAAACTGAAACTTCTGGTTGCACTGTGTTTTCTTATTGCATGTTTTAAATGCTACCGAATGCTCTTATTTTGACTTCTTTCCAACCTTCAAAACACAATTCTCATTGCTTCCATTTTGCTTTTTCCAGTAAAGGATCCCAAATCTGATTTGATTTGTTATTATAATGCATATTTGATGACAAAAATGATTTTCCCTTCATTCTCAAGAGGTCTCATTGAGAAACTTCCTAATTTTTTTTCATGAATGTGATTTAGCTTCTGGGACTTTCCCCATGAAGATTTTAACATACATACTGAAATGCAGTCTTCCTAAGTTCTGACTTCGTGTGAACGGGGTGCTTGTAAGTGGCTTTCTTCCATGACCCAGGTAGAATGGGGCCCAGGCTCCTCCCATTTTGTCACTCAGATGTCCTCTCTAGCCTTGCTGTCATCTGCTTTCAACCAACAAAGATAGAAAGAGCTTGTGGAGGGGACCACCCACCTTAAAAGCCATGGCTCAGGAGTGGTGTATGTCATGTCCATCCATTTGCTACACCCAACTGCAAAGTTAGCTGTTGGGGGCTCAGGAGAAAGAGACGTCAGAGTTTTGATGATCAAATGGCAGACTCTGCTGTACCCATGTCCTGGGCTTCAGTACATGACAAGTGAAGCCTCAAGAAACTCTAATTCAAAAAGATACATGCACCCCAATGTTCATAGGGTACTATTTACAATAGCCAAGACATGGAAACAGCCTAAATGTCCATCAACAAATGACTGGATAAAGCAGTTGTATACATATATACACAATGGTATGTATGTATATACAGATCTATAGATCTATAGATATAGATACACACATACACAGTGGAATACTACTCAGCCATAAAAAGAATGAAATCTTCATTTGCAGCAACATGGATGAGCCTGGAGATGATTATACTACGTGAAGTAAGTCAGACAGAGAAGGACAAATATCACATGATATCACTTATACGTGAAATCTAAAAAAGTGACACAAATGAACTTATTTACAAAACAGAGACAGACTCACAGACATAGAAAACAAATGGTTACCAAAGGGGAAAGGGAGCAGAGGGATAAATTAGGAGTTGGGATTAGCAAATACAAACTATTATATATAAAGAGACAAACAATAAAGACCTACTGTTGTAGCACAGGGAACTATATTCAACAGCTTGTAATAAGCTATAATGGAAAAGAACATATATCTGTGTGTGTGTATATGTATGACTGAATCACTATGCTATATATCAGAAACTAACACAACACTGTAAACGGACTTCAATTAAAGAAAAAGAAAGCCACAAAATCTGATGTGCCTCAGCAGAGGGGAGAGACATGAAAAGGCTGAGTCTGACTCTTACTGAGGCCCGTGGAGAGACAGACACGGCCTGTTTGGTTTCTGGGTTGCAGATCGCACCTGGAGCGGATGCGGATGTGACTGTGGGCACCCTGGTGCTGGCAGGTGAGGGGGCCCCAGTGGAGGCAGCAGAGATGGAGAAGGCGGCTCTTCCCGCTGGAGAAGGAGCAAGTTTAGAGGAAGCCAAGGTGGATACCGAAGCCACAGAGGCGGTAGACAGAGACAGATCTCCACCGGAAGAAGCAGAAGTGGCAGTGCCTCAGGTATGTGTCCTCATGAAACAGATTCAGTTCCAGGGAGGTGGCACCCCTTGGAACGTTCTGTCCGATTGCTTAATGGTGATGACTCTTTTGGGTGTGGAATAGTGGATGGTTTGTGGCCATTCTGTGGCACCCCATTCTACTGAAAAGAAACACTCGATTTTCAGAAAGAGTGAGCATTCTCTCCTTCATGTGGTACCTCCACTATGTCCATATCAGCATCACGAGGCTCCATACCGGCCCCTGTTGCTATGGCGAGCTGGATGTAAGCACAGATGGAGGCCAAGGAAACTAGGGGATAAAGGAATGGAGAAACAGAGGGAGGCACACACAACACAAAGGATGAGAAGGGAAGGAGGAGAAAGAGAACAGGATAGAACAATAGCGTTGTAAGGATTCAGTGAGAAAAGAACCCAATGTGCTCAGCGCGGAGCCAGGCATGTGGTGAGATGCCAGTATCAGTAGTTAAGTCATATCACTATTATTACTGTTTCGTGGTTGCTATTATTATTAGACTGCCCTGAACTCACCGACAGGTTCCTTTCACAAAAGGCCCATCCGTATGTATGTTGCACTTTCAAAAGGAAGTGGGTGATTAATATGCACATGAACTTGGAGTTAGCCCCAGCTCTTCACGGGGCATCAGAGAGATGGTCAAAGGCAACACGTGATATTTATAACGTGGGACCTCAAACCCAGGTGCCAAAGCCAAGACAGTGGTTCTAACTTCATCTCCTACGACTCTGGTCTTCTAAGTAGGAACGTGAAGAGTTGGTTTAATGTTAGGCTTTGCTTTTTCCTGATTATTTGACTCATAATAAATTTCCCTAAGTCTCTCCAGAGTTACTGAAAGCTTGAAACTGAATGATCCCTTCCAAAGAGCGGGTAGCGGTAGTATTTAGAGAAATAAAAGTCTGTTCTACTTTTTTCGTTGCCTTTCTTGTCACGATGCCAGTGGGTATTTTTGTCTGTACAGGCATGCTTGTTGGAAGACTGTATCCTTTCCTCCAAAAGAAAGGACATGCACGTGTTCACTGGTAACTGGGAGAATACAGAACTTGATCTCTAGGCTTGCATTATGCTAGTGAAAGTCCCCTCTGTGCTCATCTTTTTTTAAAAAAATAAGAGGGAGATCTTGGTCCTCTGGTTCTTTCCCCCAAGACACTTGGAGTGGCAGGGTGGGCTCCGATGACAATCACCAAGTGCAGGACAGGTAGATTATCTCCAAACACAGGCTGGATCTTTACCAACAGTATGATTTCAAGGAGAAGAGCAATCAGCAGGTTAAATGTCAGTTTCAAGCGAGGGCTACTTTCAGTGGGACAAGAATGGACCAGGCAGAAATGGGAGCGTCCTTGGAGCCCTGCATCCCCTGCAGGGCTGTCCCCGACCCGGTCACAACTCAGCCTGTCTCCCCGAAGTCTCCTAGCCCTCTTCCCAGTTCCCACGGAAACCTCACTCATACCAAACTGCCTGCTTGTTCAAGGAGGCCATGCCTAGAGGAAGGTCCTGCAAGGCGGGGGCCCAAAGGTCAGAAAGGCGTGGGGAGCAGCAGGCGTGAGGCTCTGGAGGGGGACGGGTGGCGTGGAGGAGGATGCTCCCGCCCCAGGCCCCGCACCACCACGTCTCTCTCCCCCCAGGAGAAGGTCATCCCTTCTGTCGTCATACAGCCCGCCTCCAACAACGAAGGGGAGGGAGAGCACGAAGTAATCGCGGGTGCAGAGTCCAAGGAGGCGACTGAAGACGCCGCGCCCCCGGGCCCCACCAGCGAGCCGCCCCCGGAGCTGCCCTCGGCGCAGAAGGCGGGGGAGGACGCGGCCCCGGCCAGCGGGGCTCCCAGGAAGTGCCTCCCGGCTTCCTCTACAAGGTCTGCACCGTTCTTAGCTTTTAACCCGCTGACCACTTGCCCTTCCTTTGCGTTGAGACCGCTTGGCACCAGCCTGTGGTTTTCCGATTCCTCCTCTTGCCTTTTTGCTGTATCTGTTCCCTCTGCTGCTTCCGCCTCCATCCCGCATCCCTTGTATGTAACACGGCAAGACTCCCATGCTGCTGGACAGACAAGGACCGTCACAACTTACTGTATTGTAACAACCTATAACGAAAGGGAGCTCGCCACAGGGCAAACGACATGCCCGTTGGTAGTGGGCGGGTGGGTGGCGTCCACCCCGGGGGCCCTCCTGGCTCCCCGCGGAGCCCGGGGCCTGGCATCACCGCGCGCTCCCCGCTGGAGAGCAAGGGACACCACCCACTCAGCTCCGGCACCGAGTCGCAGCGCGTGGCACGGAGGCGGGGGTCAGTCAGTATTTTAAAAGGAAGTGAGTACTCCTGTGCACAACCGTGAACTCTTCCACGGTCAGCTTCTCTCGTTTAAAATACATCGGAGTTCCTAGAACACACTGCGAGATGATGAACTTTTTCTGTATTCAGCAAACGGTTGGATTATGTCTTATTGGTGGTGAAAGGCATGCCGTACCTGACAGAAATCTTTACTTCGTTTGAATATTCATTAGGTCTCATGTCTCAAGACCGCATTGGTAACCATCATCCATCAGTCCTAGAGGTGGCCTGTGAAAGCTGCTGTAAGCGTTTATGGTCACGCTTCTTGTGGACCTTCTGTTCCCTGGGCGCAGGGTATCTTGTTGATGTAGAATTGGTAGGGTTAAATGAATCCTTCCAGCATGTATGTGCTGTTACAAATTCTCATCGTTGGTGTAAGAGCTCCTGTTCTTTGATATCGTACAAAATATGCAGCAATGTTCTCACGGCTATACTGTATCTTGATGTTATCCGGTCATGAGCCTAAATGTAACTGTGATCTTTGGGGGAAAAAAGTAAGTGAATAAATGTATTAATGAACTTCTATGATAAGGAAACAAAATTAATGGGAAGAAGGTTTTGCTCCAAGAGGCCATGGGATGGCTACTTAGAGTCTCCGCAAACTGAAGAGTCTTTACCAAAACCCCAGTAAATATCTAAAAACACTGAAGCCAGCAGTTAAAGGCAGATACTCCTACCTAACAGAATATAGTTGGAATTTTAAGTTGTATATTTGATTTTGTGTTTCCACATTCAGCTCCTTTCCTTCTAAACAGTATTAAATGTCTGTGTGTCTGTCAGGGGGAGGGGGGAGGGGGTGGGACTGAACAGGCACAGTCATTTTCTTTTTCTTCTCTCTCTCTCTGCTCGTTAGAAAGTAGCTGCTACCTTGTCTCCTCCGATGGGGACGGATGGGGCTAATGGATTCATGAATGAAGGAATGTGGAGACCAAAACTAGACCTGTGGCCCGTGAAAGGATATGCCCCACCGTGTTCTGTTCTGAGTAGAGGACCCGAAGTCACGGGGGCGGGTGCCACTCAAGGCGTGTTCTGGCCAGGCTGGCCCCCAGCTTCCGTCCCTGGCTGCCTTGCGGGCGGAGGAATTGGACTTCCCCGCTTGCTGGGCTTCGGTGTTCTCATCAGAAAAATGAATTTGGAGAGGAGATAGTCATTTCCAGGTCTGCGTGGACTAGTTAGCTGGGCTAATGTTAAGATTCGTATGCAGAACACACAGTTTAAAAGCCGGTTGTTTAACCTGGGCAGTGGGGTTGAGGCAGGGGACACGGGAGACATAAAACTGGCCGTGACTAATAGTTATTCAAGCTGGGTGGTGAGCACGTGGGGGTTCCTTAGAGTAGTCTTTCTCCTTTTGCTTTTTAAAAATTTTCTATAATCAGATTTTAAAGAAATGTTTCAAAAAAGGGGGAAGAAGGGTGGGGAGACAGGATAGATGTTGTTTAAAGGTACAAACTTGCAACAAGTGGTAAAGAAACCCGAGAGGTCTGACGCACGGTGAGTGCAGACAGCCCTGTTGTATTATAATCATCAAACCTGCTAAGAGACTAGAGCTTAATTAACCCAACAGCTAAAAAGAAATGATAATTATAAATGTGATGGAGGTGCTCATATTGCTACAGGGGCAATCATGTTATGATATATAAGTGCATCAAATTGACAGGGTGTGCACTTAAATTGTACCATGTTATTTGTCAAATGTATTTCAATTAAAAAACAGAAAAAGAGAAAGAACAGAAACAGATTGTAATGGTTTAAAGGGTAAAATAGAGAAGGAAGTTTATTTGAAAGAAATTGATCACAGGGTTTAATTAGCTAGTAATTCCCATATAACATGCAAGTGATGGTTTTCCCAATTATTAATTCTTTTACAGAAGCTGGGGTTAAAGGAACTTTTCACTAGGCATCTTTAGTTCAGGTTTGAAAAAAAATGTAATAAAGCATCAGTGACAATAAAGTGCAAATCTCTAACAAAAATATGATGAGCTAAAATTTAATTAATCCACTGCATTTTAGCTCTTGCAGAAGGCATTGCTTTACTAAATATACATCCAAATGGTCTCGGTATCAGTTTGTAGGATTTAGATGTTTTAAGTAAACAGAGATTTCCTTTCTGTCTTCAGAGGCCTCTTTTGGGGTGTGACCCATATCTTCATCTTTTCTATCCAGTGTGGAGATGCTTCGAAGAGTGCCTGCTGATGATCTGGCTGAGAGACTTTGATTGGACGTCTCCTTTTCTTTCTAAAAGTGATCAGTTATCTTACAATCTTTCGCAGGTGGAAACATTGCACGACTTCGAGGCAGCAAATTCTGATGAGCTTACCTTACAAAGGGGTGATGTGGTGCTGGTGGTGCCCTCGGACTCAGAAGCTGACCAGGTAAAGGATGAGGGTGGAAGGTACTGCGGGCTCTGGTTTTTCCTGAGGGTCTTCTGGGCACAGTGACTTCCTGAAGCCAGCTCCACTTTCTGAGATGCAAGGAAAGGGCGTAAGACCACAACACATCACTAACTCGGTGTTTCGGGTGCCTCTTTTGGGACGCTAATATATTGTGTCTTTTTTCTACAAATAGATGACATTATTACCATCTTTCAGCTTCAGTATTTGAACATATTGATACTAGCTGCTTTAATTTTCTTACTGCTGATTCCCAAAGCTGGGCCATCTCAGGGCACGTTTCCATTGCTTTTTATCTTTGAGTCATATTTTCCTGTTTTTTCTCGTATCAGGTAGTTTTTGTTTTTTTTTTTTTAATGAATACTGGGCACAGTGGATGAGACATTGTGGAGTCTCAGTGATTCTGTTTTCTTCCTCTGAAGAATGTTTCTTTTTCTTCTAACATTTAAATTACTAGATAAATACCTTGGATCCATGGAATTTTGTTTTATACTTTGTTAGGCTGGATCTGTTTTAGTTTTGCCTTTTTCTTTTAGTCTAAATTCTTCTTTTTTAAAGAAATGTTTGAGGGGAAGGTAATTAGGTTTATTTATTTATGTTTAGAGGAGGCACTGGGGATTGAACTCAGGACCTCACGCATGCTAAGCATGTGCTCTACCACTTGAGCTATACCCTCCCCCTTAGTCTGAATTCTTAGTCCTGGGACTCTGTCTCTACCTCTAAGGCATTCTCCTTTGAGGTTTCCATAGAAATCTTGAAGGGTTTATCAAGCCCACTAACTTTCAGGCATTTGAACTCAAAACTCTGCCTCCCCTCTATTGGCAGTGCTTAAATGTCTACTCAGCTTTTCCTGCCTTCCTGCTGCTCCTAGAGTCCCTGTCATGAATTAAGCTTGGGGGGCAGCTCAGGATTCCAGGGGAGCTTTTCTGTCTAAATATACAGAGGGGACCCACCTCTGTAGTTTCGTATTCTCAGGATGTTCTCCATAAAAGGCAGCTTTGGAAGCCATAAAATCTCTCCCCTGGATGCCCTGCATCACACAGACTGAGGATAACCCTCCGAGGGAAATCTTTAGTTACATAGATCTCACCCAGGGCAGCTTCAAGGGTT